GAACCGTCTGCCTCATCTTCTCGAGTTCTCCTTCCAGCTCGATCACCCTTTGCGCAGACACATGATCTGCGCCTGTGTCGTCGAAAATCTTCATTATCATCATCTCTTGGATAGCTGCTTCAGGTGAGGTAGTTCCGGTAACGTCATCATCCCCCTGGTCGTTATAGATTGCATCCTCGGTTTTCATCTCTTCAGCCGTGGTTGGTACTTCTTGTTTCATAAGGTCCTTCCATTGCTCGAGATCATTAGGTGGTATATGTGGATGCTCTCGTAGCTGGCCGTGACTATTGTAATTGAATGGATAGTACAGGAAGAGGTTCGTCAAATACTGGCTCGTTCGACTGGGTCTGCTGGGTGAACCTTGAAGACGCTTGAAACTCTTAATGAGGGTCTGATCATATGCCAAATACTTCGGAGGAACTGTGGGTCGACATTCCGTTGTAACGGCATCGCGTATCAATGGCCATGTGCGAGGATTATCTTTTTCGTACTCTGGAATGGCTGTTGTAATGTCATATCGCAAGGAGTAACCCTCCCAGGGGAAGCCTCCGTCCCAGTTTACACGAGGCACGATGTTTTTGTTACTCATCTTGTAGGGGGTGGGGTAGAGGATTGCAGGAATTGTTGTTGGGCTTCGCACGAGCTGTAGTTGAGGCAAGTGTGTGGTATGGGCTGGTCATCAGTATCTTTATACTAAGGTCCGGTCACGTAAAGCTAACGCAGTGATCTTGGTGTCGCCGACGTCCTTCACCTCGACGGCCAAAGTGAGACGCAGTGAGATATCACACCTGCGCAAGACGGATGTCTCGATAACTATCGGAGCACATATCTACACATGAACCACCCCAGCGACCTCACCAACTGAACTACCTATAGTCCTCGAAATCGCCACCCTCTAACCCATACCCGTGATCCATGAGTGCCACACCCTCGGCCCGATTAGTATCCTGCGTCCTCTCACCTGCGGCGCTTCCCTCACCGATCAACGCCTCTCGCCTCTCGCCTCAAAAATGGCACGGCACAGACGCCGCAGGCCGCAGCGAGGAAATGGCCCCAATAACTGCCCATATACCCACGCCATGCAGGTCCGATGACCAACAAGTCTCCACAACGTGTCTGCCGGACAGGCATGTCATATCGGTGGAATGGATGCATCAGGGTCCCGCAGGCGCTTCCCGCCGCGAGCGCACTCCGTGCCGCGGATGCATATGCAGGTACGTTATGCTTGCATATGCGACGTCGACGACGTCTGTGGAACGTACATGTTAGTAGTGAAGAGCGACAGAGATGGCGAAAAGGTGGCAGACGAGGTCTATCAGATTTGTTGTATCATTACTAAATACCGAGTTGATTCTTCACATAACTGTGAGAAGATCTCCCCAAAACGCCCCCCAAATCTACCTGTAATGCAAACCCGTCGTAAAAGATGAGGGGTATCGAAAAAACAAGCCGGTGATCTGTTGCCTTAGGGCTTCATACACGAGTTCAACATCCATACGAACAGTCTTGCTCTTGCGTTGGAACGCTGATACGTGAGACGACAGCGTGTAGCGGGGAGGAAGAAGTCAGTCGTGATGGTGTCATTAGGTTTCGTCGTTGTCAAAATGTCGTGAACGCAGGAAAATTGATAACAGCGCCCAAAGTTTCCGACATTTGAATGATACAGTAGTCAAATGTTAGGAAACTTAGACGCGTCGTGACCATGAATGCAAGATAGTGAAGGGTTATGATGCCAGATGTGTTGCCTTTGCAGACTGCGACAAGCCCTCTGAAGAGCGGTGTGCGGGTACGTTGGTCGCGGTGCTGGCTATCGTGTCGACAAGACTGATCTAAGCCTTCTGCAGAGGCTTCTTGACCGCACCCTTGCTGGAGGTGCGAGAAGGGGTCTTGGGAGATTTCGCCGGAGACTTTGGTGTGCGAGTCTTAGCCAGGGCCTTCTTGGGAGAAGCAGCCTTGCCAGGGAGCTTGGGGAGAAACTCAATCGAAGGAACCTGATCGGTCTCCTTATCCTCAAGCATCTGGAGGATGATGTCGACAATCTTCTGAACCTGGTCATGGCTCTTGTCAGCACCAACATACTGGTCCAGCTCACGAAGAACGTCGATGGGCGCCTCGAAGTGCTTGCCTTCCTTGGGCTGGACGCTCTTCGCCGCAGCCAAGGGTCCCCTGGATGCAGCGACTTGACGGGAGTATGAGTTGAGGCGGGCTTCCTCGGATTTCTTGAACGCGATGTCGTATGTGGTGCCCGGAAACTCCTTCTCGATCATATCGAACTGGCGGAGGATGAGCTGAACCTTGCGGATCTGCCACTTCTTCTTGTTGTAAGTCGCACGCTGATAGTGCTTGCGACAGAAGAGGGGCCAGTCGGTGACGTCGCGAGTGCATGCTTTGTTGCGGCCGAAGTGATCGGAGATGACCTTGCGCGACCTAGATATCAGTCAGTGTATATCTCATACAGTTCGTAAAGATAAATTACTAACAGGTCCATGGTGTACTGGCCGGTCATGCAGCGCGTGTGCTCGTCATTCATACAGATGAACTCGCGCTGATCGTCGGGTACATCCTCGCCGTCATCCAGGTTTTCGTCACCAGAAGCTTCAGGCTCTTCCCTCTATCAAACGAATATCGGTCAACTTACTGCTCCAATAGTGACATGGTGACTTGTCATGGTGTGAAGAAATGAGAAGAAACAGAGTCATTAGTACTTACAGGTGCGGTCATGACGGTGTCGGGGGTGTCCACGATGGGCGACGAAGTCTCTTCTTCTGTTGACTGTGCAGGTGGTGTAGAAGGCGGCGCAGGTACAAGCTTGGAAGTGCCATCAGGAGCATCGATAGGACCAGTGACGAAATCTAACGCCATCGTATTGCGGATCTTGTCGGCTTGAGTGATCTCAGTCGTAAGGGAAGCGCCTGAGACATCATCGATATTGGTCTTGGGGTCGGTGGACATGTTGAGCGAGTCCGGGGGTAAATGTGTTATCAAGTAGAGAAGAACACCAGTTGGAATGGAGTTGACTGCACTGAATCTCACAATAGTACGGTTATGGAGAAGAAAGTCTCGAGAGAGGTGAGCGAAAGATCTTATACGCAGTGCGGCGGCGGTCCAAGTGTGATAGGCCGACGAAAAGTGAAGGTGACTCTGGAATGACACATTCTCCGCTGTTTGATCGCTACCACCTGATGGATCTTCCCGTCACCTTGGATCACGAATGGGCCATCGTCCTTGATTCACATTACCGTCGCACAATGCGACGCACTGCGGCCCGAGAGCACTAGAGCTTCACCGAACGGCCATCTGCCTGGCAGCTTGAGCCAATGGCGAACCCGTGGGCTCACGATAGTCGACCAGATGCCCTGCCAAGAGACTCGTTTGCTCATACTTGACCAATGCCACCCTCGAGTCGCGTGTTACATTCCCTGCGTGAAGGCCCACGTAGGCCAACACTTGTATATTAACGATGGAATGGATGGGTAGCTGATGAAACAATCGCTGTAAAAGACAGCCTGAGGGACGAGTTGGCCATGAGCTGTGGCACAGAGGGAGCTGGGTGAGCCCAGAAAAGGCCCGCGGAATGCCCTCATGGTATCGACGGGGGCCAGATATTGGTGAAGAAAATTGCTTAAGTAATTTGAAGTAGGGGCAGCTGAGGTAAGGGAGGTAATGGAATGAAATAGAGTGAATGAAGTCATGCAAATACAAACTGGAAGCTAGAAACCAAGCATCGAGACGTAACACAGGAAAGCAAGTACAATCGACTCAAACGACATGATTCATGTGAACGCATAGCCCCCCGTACTGATTGTCAAGCGACGTAGCCGCGATGGTGTACGTCCAGAGATCCAGTGTTGACGATCCCGGCGTTGGTACGTACCAACAGTTCGCATTCCTGTCCCCTGTGAATGGAGCTCCTTCTGAAAGGGTAGACACAGAATAGCTTCCACACCGTACCCTAAGACGTTGGTTTTGCGTAAGTGTACTTACTGTTTAGGTATCAACAAGTCCGATACGTCACAGGAAGCTGCGCGGCGCTTGTGTGGCGAACTGGCGAGCAAATTCCCTCACGAGTCAATCAATCCAGAGTGATCCGCTTTGATATACATGTCGGCATACCGTACAAGTATGAGGCTCGAAACGGCAATCTCTCCACTACTATGCTCGGACCAGAGCAGTCTACTACGCCACAAAGAACTAGCAGGGACCTATAGGCGCATTCCGAGCGGCTATGGCATGGTCTACGATTGGCTTATACTCCCATAATTATAATCTCAAAGGTTTTAGTTTCTCCATCTTTCTGAGACTCGTACTTTTGAGGGAATGCGGCACGAGTTGTAGCTCGTGACCAAAGGTGTTCGTGGGGCTGTATACCTGCAATTTCTCTCGCCGGATTTCCTCTGAACTCAGGAAGTGGAACCAGATGCAAAGCATCGAGTCTACACGTAGTGAATCATAGAGTGAGTTCTGCAATCTGGAACGACATGGGATGGAGGTTTACCAGAGGGCTTTCCAGTTGGGAGTTAGCCGACCATATTATGTATATACAAGAACCCTGTACATGCAACACGACGGGCGCGTAAAGCAGAGTGACAATGAAAGAGAGGTAGTCGTAAGCGTCCAACACAAGTGTGGGAGTTGGGCAAGGGGACGGATAAAGTGGACGAGGATGATGGAGGAGTGAGGCTTGGCGGCGGCTTAGTCACTATCGGGCAAGCTACCGCCGATAACCGGAAAACGAAAACACGTGCGCATTCCGTCAACAGTGTTTAGCGTCTTTCGCGCTTGTAGCGTCTTGCGGCAGTGAGGAGCTCCTGTTCTGCGCATCGTCACCAAACCCAAAAGGCAAATCGCTGGAAGCGCCAGCAAACCCCTGTTTATCGCTTGAGATGCGCTCACACGTCATTCCTACCACGCAACTTCTTTCTAACCACTCGATCCTGGGCTGAGCGCGTTCGCGGCCACTTTCCTCGCCTTGCTACCCACAGAGCGCCCTCTCAGCCACCATGCCCCCGACCACAGGCACAAGAACCTCTACGAGGCAGGGGCGGGCTACGGTCCGACCTACCAACTACTATGCGCGCACCTTTGCCGGCCGCCTCAACGCGAGCGGGATGGAGCAGACGCCCGAAGCTTCCAGCAGCGCGCCCGGCTTCCTGCCCGCCCTCACCCACTTTAGCGGCGCCGTCGATGCGTTTCCAAAGGAGATAATTAAGCATTTTTCCATGTTCAAGGAAGTCGAGGCCAAACTCCATGACCCGGAGCAGATGCTCAAGGAGCTGCTTGACGACATCGCCCGGCAGCCCGTCACTACAAAGGCCCAGCTGGCTGCTATAGAACAGGCCTCAGTAGCGTCTGAGGCCAACGCCAACGTAAGTTCCAGGAAGCGCATAGCAGTATCAGAAACTCACAATTGCTAGCTCAATCCTGACAACATGTCCCCCGAAGAACGTTCGGCCATGACCAAGCGCCAGCTCTTCTATCGCCTCCGCATGATTATCGCGAACACGCTGCCCATACTCGACGAAAAGCTCGTAGTGCTCCAGGGCGCCAAAGCCACCAAAGACAAGGGCCTCACGCGCATGCACCACTCCTTCGCCCAGCTCGACGGCGAGATCAGCGACGAAGCGCGATACGGCAGCCTTACACACTGGGCATATGCGGACAAAGAGGAGAAGAAAAAGGGCGGACCATCCCACGAGCGGCAGAGGCGCGAGGTGGCTGCGGCGAATAACCTGGCCGCGGCCGCTCAACATGTCCATGACGTCGATTCAATTGCGGCCAAGAGCGAGGCCAGACGTGAGGCCATGCAGGCGAACAAGCGCAGTCGACACCACCAGGTTGACTCCGACTTCGACGACAGACCAGCCAAGAGACCGCAGAAGAAGAAGCCCTTGCCTGCAGAGACAGCAGCGCCAGACAGCAGAAGCCTTGGGTTGGGCATTTCAAGCAACGGCACAGGTCCTCATGGCAAGCGGAAGAAGACTGAAAAGGCCCTTGCCGCTGCGGCGGCGGCGGTACCGGCAGCTCCGCCCATGGAGCGATCACTGAGCAGTGCTTTGAAAGCAACTAGCAACGGCGTACGGGGTGGTTCTAGCCCACGGGGAACGCCAGGTCCAGAGAACGGCGCAGCAAAACGCAAACCTCGTGCCGCACCCGTGGCTGCGCAACGCAAGAACCCGCTTCCCCCGTACTCGCCCCCTATGGCTTCGTCACCCCTTGCTGCCAACTTCCCCGTCAACAAAGCAATTGCCGGCGCATCGGAACGAACACTGTCTGCCCGTGCACGGAAGAACTCCACAGCCAATTCGGTGGCGTCAATCAAGGACCAAGAGGCTACAGCTGCAGGCCGCCCGTCATCCTCGCACTCTGCGCAACAAGCCGCTAGCAGCAACGCCATCACAGAGCTGGAACAGGCTGCTGGCGTTGTGCGAGACAATGCTTCGGCAAAGGGCGCGTCCACTCCAAAGGAGAGTACAGAGATCCCACCGCCCTTTGATACAGCCAACATGAAGGTGGAAGACTTGGGACAGCCGGAGCCAGAGAGCATGGACATTGACGCTCCCGCACCGATATCTGCCGCCGTGAGATCCGGTCGGAACTCCAAGAATACGACACCTGTTGTCGGCGCGTTTGTGGAGACACCCATGGCGCGAAGTCGCAGTAGCCGCAACGTGAACAATGGAAACTCAAACTCCACCACGTCGTCAGAGAACAACAGCACGACAGGCGCCGGATCAAAACGAGGCAACAAGAAGAACACGCAATCGACTACCGCCACTGCTTCTCCCGCCCTGAAGCCCACGCCGAACGTAAAATCGAACCCTCCATCATCCGCTGCCAGCTCCGTCGCACAAGAACAAGACTACCAAGAGGTCGAGGCGGAAGCCGAACCAGAGGCCGAATCGGAGGAAGATGGCGACGAGCCGCGATACTGCTATTGTAACGAAGTTTCCTACGGGAACATGATTGCCTGCGACAACGATGACTGCCCCCGCGAGTGGTTCCACCTTGGCTGTGTAAATCTTGACAAACCGCCTACTGGCAGAACGAAATGGTTCTGCAGTGACGACTGCAAGGAGACGTACAATAAGACCAAGGCGAAGGGGGGCCGTCCAGGCAGTAGTAGACAATAGGAATTAGGAAGGAGTTCAAGGCGTTCTGGGACGGGTCCAGCGGCGGCTGGGTCTAGGCAAGGCCCGAAGGGTAAGGGCAAGGCTAGGTTAAATCTCTGGGATGGCTGGAATGCTCTCTAGCAGCGTTCTAGCCGCGGTCTGCGGATTTCTTTGGATTCTTTGTGTAGGTTTCTCGGCGTTTCTACTAGGCTTGGTTACGCGGCGCATCTCTTTTTATGACTACGAGGTCTAGTGATATCCGCTCTGGAGGACACTGGCGTTTTGCATCGTCTGGCATATGGCATCGAGAAGCACATTCTTTTGTCTTTTCTGTCAATGTTACTGTATATGGACTTGCGTTGGCTCTACTTAACAGAGTACGTATATCAATAGCGAAGTATTCGCAGGCATTTGAACGTTTTCTTGTAAAAACTCTAAGGCGAACTAAGCTCGATTGAACTGCCTTTGGGCTATTTCCGACGAGAGGTCGGTATTTGGTAGGCTGAGGTTTTGGTGATGCTGTGTCACATGGTTATTGCGAGCTTCAAGGTTGTCGCGGCCTTCATACATACCACGCGGCAGCGGTACGATAGCCGTCAGCAGCCGTCAGCCTCAGAAATGCCCCTTGCAGATCCCTTTCGGCTTAGAGTGGGCGTCATCGTCATTGGCCAGATACATCTGGACCCTGAAACGCTAACTACGATTGATGATGCGCAGCATACTCACCGCTCGAACACGCGACACGAGCGCCTTGAGCACCATATTCTAACGACAACTATCTCTCAAGTTGGTACAAGTGTGATATAGATTCGGAAATCATCATGGCGCCCACAGACCACCCATCAGCGGAAGAGCTGCTCATATGCGAGCCAGAAGGTGGCGCGCCGAATGCCCCGCCAGACCTACGTTTCTTACACTACAATGATGTTTACCACGTTGAAGCGGGGTCAAGAGAGCCTGTTGGCGGATATGCGAGGTTTCAAACTCTCGTAAATTACTATAGGGACGATGAGAGGTTCAAGGACCAACCAAAGCTTCTGACTTTCTTCTCGGGTGATGCGTTCAACCCGAGCATTGAGAGTAGTATCACAAAGGGTCAGTGAGCCGGATCGCCACAGCTTATGCAAGGAGACTGACGACTACCACCAGGAAGCCACATGGTCCCTGTACTAAACAACATTGGCACAGACGTTTCTTGCGTGGGAGTATGTACATCGTAGTTTACAGAGACCGAGCCCAACTAACGCTTACATAGAACCACGACCTCGACTTTGGTGTAAAGCAGTATCGCTACCTCACAGCCAAATGCAAATTCCCATGGCTCCTCGCGAACGTCCACGACCCAGCCCTCGGCGACGGTGTCCCCCTCGGAAACGCGAAGAAGACGGTCATGCTCACGGCATCCAACGGCATCAAAGTCGGCGTCATCGGACTCGCAGAACGAGAGTGGCTCGACACAATCAACGCGCTACCGCCGGACATCATATACAAGAGTGCCTCCGAGACTGCGAAGGAACTCATACCAGGTCTGAAGGAGCAGGGCGCAGAGATAATCGTTTGCGTATCGCATCAGCGAGAGCCAAACGACAACAAGCTGGCAAAGCAAGTTGGAGGAGGATTGATTGATATAATCTTGGGTGGACATGACCACTACTACTCGTACAACCTTATCAACGGAACACAAGTACTGCGGTCAGGCACAGACTTCAAACAACTGTCTCACGTTGAGGCATGGCGGAAGCCAGAGGGCAAGGGATGGGACTTCAAGATCATACGGCGAGACATTGTCAGCAGTATACCTCAAGATCCCCAGGCCATGGCGCTGGTAGAAGAACAGACACGGGAGATTAGAAAGCGATTAGACAAACCTATCGGATATACCGCCGCACCACTCGACGCCCGATTCACAACCGTACGAACAAGAGAGTCGAACATTGGAAACTTTGTCTGCGATCTCATGAGGTACTACTACTCAGCCGAGTGCTGTATCATGGCAGCCGGAACGATACGCGGAGATCAAATCTACCCTCCTGGCTTGTTGAAGCTCAGGGATCTTGTCAACTGCTTCCCGTTTGAAGATCCGGTCGTGGTACTGAAGGTCACCGGCAAGGCAATTCGAGAAGCATTAGAAAACGGCGTCAGCAATTACCCGGCACTAGAAGGAAGATTCCCGCAAGTATCGAACATTACCTTTGAAGCGGACTACTCCAAACCACCACATTCGCGGGTTTCCAATGTGACGATTGGAGAGGAACCTGTAGATGAGGAGCGAGAGTACGTACTCGCTACGAGAGGGTACATGGGCCGTGGAAAAGGTACGTCATCCCCAGTGCACAAAGAGCTTCCACTAATCAACTACACCTAGACGGCTACACATCCCTCCTCATCGAAGAAGAAGGCGGAGTTGCCAAAGAGCTTGTCTCGGAAGAAAACGGCGTTCTCATCTCCACTATCCTCCGCCAATACTTCATGTCTCTCAAAGTACTAGGCAAATGGAAACGCTGGGGCAAATCCATGAACACAAAATTCACATCGATTCAAACGAATCTGCAGAAGAACCACGGTCACGCTTTCCACGACCCATCTCCTACATCCCCCACGCAGTCCCGTGGTAACAATGCTCCTCCGGTGGATCAAGGCGTGAGCAGAGTCCTGGGTGATTCGAACAAACGCGACAACAGCCCGAACGACACTACCGACTCGGAAGACCCGGACGTCGATGAAGATGAAGACGACGGACCGATGTATGATAGCCGTGTGCCAATACAGTTCACAGACAAGCAGACGGAGATGATCAGAAGGGTTATGAGGAAGTGGTGGCGTGTTGCTGGTCTCAAGGGCAATCCTAAGCTGTGTGATGAGCTTGGTGGTGGTGAGTTCCAGGTTAATTGGACAAAGGCTATTGCGCCGAGGTTGGAGGGGAGGATTAGGGAGGTCGGAGCTGCGGTTAAGATTGAGGCATAGTGTTGAGATTTATGATATATGTACGACCTTTTACGTTGCTGAGTCCCGTTCAAACGGCTATAGCTAGACTTGAGAAGAACCATTTACAGTCCGTTTCTTCATGATCGCCTTCTCCCTTTGTTTTCGTATCTCATAATGGTATTGCAGTCTTCAAGGCTGAGGTGGACGATGGCCTAGATGTCCTTCGATGGGTCGACCGCATGCTTATCCGATTATGCACTCACTTGCTTTTTCTTGTAGACCCACAACTGATATGATTAATCGCCGGAGCGTAAATCTGTCGGGTAATATGGTAGATAGTGGCTATGGCTCCGGAAAACAATTGATGGTACAGGTCAGATTGAGCTCTGAACGCCATTATCTTGGCGATACAGGCTCTAGGAGCTGAGATGCGCGGTTGAGGGTGTTCCATGCTTGTGCCGGCCATTGTTGACTGTGGCTGTTCTACTCCGGTATCTTCCTAGCTCTTGTGTGTTTCATTTCTCGACTTACATGTATGACCCATTATCTACTGCCTGTGGATCTCATCTGTGAAAGTATGCGCACAGCTTGTTCATCGTATGCGCTGCGATTGGTAAGCTACCAGAATGGTTCAGAGTTATCGAGCGTTGCCCACTCTTCTCCGCCATCGCTCCAGTCACGCCAAACATCTTTCGAGACTATATCCAACCGACCATGGTGAAGCCTTGCAAAATCCACGTTGAAGGGATGTGGCTTGAACGTCTTCCCTTGACTAGTAGCTAGGTTCATCAAGTCGAGTTTGTACATGCGAACTATCCTTGAAGCAGCGCGAACAAACAACTCTTTCTCCAAATCGTCCTCTAGTATCTCGTTGGTGAGCATCATGACCATGTGCGATATCTTGGGAAAGTCGCGTAGGACGTTTGATAGGCTGCCGTCTCTGAATCCATTCAGTATAACTTTTGTAATAGCGACCTTCTGCAGCTCTTGGGGATCACAGCCCGTTGCATGGCTGAAGTGAGCCAGTAGTCCTACTTCGGGCGAGTCATCGTAATGTTTAACACGCGTGCCTTCTAGCTGTAGCAAGAGGATGTCGGTATCGATGCGGAAGTAGAATTCGCCACAGCCAGTATCTGAATTGCTGCACGGTACCTGCAGGATATGGTTTGCTTTCACAGCCTGGTACCGAGCTTCTTCGCGCGACTCATGACATAGATTTACCGTCACTGGCGCAGGACTAGGGGAGTATCGCGGGCAAAAGTGCGTTTCGTCATGATCCTCATCGTGGGGGTTGGTCTCCAGTGCTACCAGGCGAGGCGGCTCGTTGTAGTACGCCAGCGCCCATATCTGAAGGCGTAGTTCTTTTGGCAGCAACTGCATAGACATGTCTGGAGGATGAACTGGGGCGGGTGTTGTGGAGGCCAAGAACCTTCCCCATGTAGACGTCACGTGCCGTCGCGATCCCCAACATTAGTTTGACTTTCCGCCATTACGAGGCCTACCCACTCCGCTCCACTTGGCGCGGATGCCTAACTTTATACCGGTAACCATCCCACGTCCGAACCAACTCATCACACATTACGCATGGTCATTTCCGATGCCCGCACCTCCGAGATGCAGAATACAGTGTCTCGAAGCTTCTCTCCCTGAACCTTTTTAAAGTCCAGAACGCCCGTGGTCCTCCGCAGGTGTTGCACGATGATCGTCCAATGACATGCTGATTTTATGTTTGTTATCGGATTTGCGTGGTCGCCACGCTGAATGCCATCCATGGCTCCATCCTATTCATTGATCTGCGCAGGTGGAAATCCATTGTGGCACAGTAGAACAACGAGTCATTGTCGAAGTTAAACGACATGTACTGACATCGTGTCAGCTCGTCAGCACCAGGGGGAGCTTCGTCGACAGCTTGGCACAATGGATGTTCGTTGGCCGGTGAAGAAGTCGTGAAATCCGGGGGAAAGCCGACGAGCTATATTGTCAATAATATGAGCACGGAGCGCCATGTTGTGATTCCGCTGGCAGCTTCATGAGGCTCTGGGTGGATTCGATGCGGGTGTCCCACAACCCCTTGGAGTCCCACTGGAGAAATACCGACGGCGTCTTCTTATGTGGATCTGTTGGACGCGCGACCCGCTGTATGTGAAGTCACACTGACATGCGCGCGGATGCTTTGCCGGGCAAGGAGTCTAGTTTTGCTAGCATTTGGCCTGATCGACGATGTGAAGACCGATCAACGGCTTGACTCTCGAGCTCCGGAGGAGGCTGAAAGATTTGAGGCTCCATGTGACAAGGCTGGGCATCTTTGCTGTCGTGTTGTTGGTCGTGGAGCTATTCCCCTCCCCCGCTTTAAAGGCAAAACCACCCCTCTTCGAGCGTCATACCGCAGACACCGCATAGGAAAGGCACGCGCTCGGATTCCGTTGCCGATTAAACACCGAAACCTTCGTCCTTCTACGATGTTCCTGTTGCGATTCTCCTTTTACCACCTCGACTTCAAATCCTAAGTTATACACACCCAAACTCGGTGTTCTTTGTCGCGAAACACTTTCGCAGCACCCCCTCGGAACAGCACCATCGGCATTTGCGCTTTGCTGCGGCACCGCACACCCGCACTCAACTCGTCGCAGTTCAGACATCCTTCAGCGCGGACACCGCAAAGAAGTTAATCGGTTGTCAGACCTGATTGGCTTGGTTAGAAATTTTTCCGTACCGTCGCAATACCCAGTACCATTCTTGGTACCGAATTTTAGAAAGCACCACTTCGCGACCAACAGCTGCACCCGTCGCGCATATTCTACGATTCCGACCGCGGACGGAAGACATCTTCCGTATAAATACAACGGGTTAGGTACACCCGTGGAACAGAACAGCACATCTCTCAGCATGGCGACACAAGACGTTTCCGCGCACGATACTGAGCCGCAGCCAGTCCCCAAAGAGGAAATTGCAGAAGAGCCACAGTCGAATTTGGACGAGGGGAGACTGAGGCAGTTCTTTATTGGTTCCATAGACCAAGGAACTACAAGTACTCGCTTCATTATTTTCGACGGCCTTGGTGAGCCCGTAGCTCAACATCAGATCGAGTTCAACCAGCAATATCCTCAGTCAGGGTCAGTACAGGCGAAATCTTGTTGTTGACGTGAATTAATTGGCGCAGATGGCATGAACACGACCCGAAAGAGATCATTCATTCGGTAGAACAATGCATTGACCGGGCTACGAATATCTTCCTCGACAACGGCCATGAAATCGAAGACATCAAGGCTGTCGGTATCACCAACCAGCGTGAAACAATAGTCGTTTGGGACACCAATACTGGTGAGCCATTATGTAATGCGATCGCTTGGTAAGTAAAACGTGTGTACGAGATTCGAATGGGCAGCGATTGACTTTGTGAATCCAGGCCAGATACGAGAACCAAGGGATTGGTCCGTGAGTTGAAGAACAAGGAGGGCGCTGATGACATACGCAATATGTGTGGACTTCCTCTATCGACCTACCCATCATCAGTCAAGCTCCGGTGGCTGCTTGACCACAACGAAGACGTTCGCAAGGCATACGACGAGGAGCGATTATCCTTTGGAACCATCGACACATGGATATTATATAACCTGAACGGAGGACCAGAACAAAACATTCACGTGACAGACACTACCAATGCGTCTAGAACCATGTTCATGAACCTGTATGTCAACCTCCGCTCGCTTCGAATTAAGCGACAAAGTCGGCTAATGCAATTGCAGGCACACCGTTCAGTACGATGACAAGCTCTTGGATTTCTTCGGAATCGATAAAAACAAGGTCAAGCTACCAAAAATTGTGCCGTCTTCATCGCGAGACGACTTCGGATTCTTACGTTCCGGTATATTGGAAGGTGTTCGAATTGCAGGGTGCTTGGGTGATCAATCGTCAGCTTTGGTTGGTCAACAAGGCTTTACGCCCGGTTCTGCGAAGAACACGTACGGCACTGGTTGCTTCTTGCTTTACAACGTGGGAGAAAAGCCTGTCATTTCTTCGCACGGGCTTCTGGCTACTGTCGCGTACGACTTTGGCGGAAAGCGGAAACCCGTATATGCACTCGAAGGCAGTATTGCGGTTGCGGGTAGTGGCGTCAAGTTCCTCATGAACAACATGGGCTTCATCACACATTCACACAAGATTAGTGATCTTGCGGCATCTGTGGAAGACAACGGTGGATGTGTCTTCGTAACAGCCTTCAGCGGTCTCTTCGCTCCTTACTGGATCGACGATGCTAAGGGCACCATTTTTGGTATCACGCAATTCACTGAGCGGGGACATATCGCTCGCGCAACCTTGGAAGCGACCTGCTTCCAGACCAGGGCAATTCTAGACGCCATGGAGCTGGACAGTGGCCACAAGCTTAACATGCTTGCAGTCGATGGTGGAATGAGTAACTCAAACTTGTGCATGCAGGTAAGTGAAGGCACCGGGAGATACCGATGAAGTGGCCCTGAAATAACCATTTGGAACAGACTCAAGCAAACATTATCGGCATTCCCGTCGACCGCCCCGCCATGCGCGAAACTACAGCTTTGGGCGCAGCCATCGCAGCTGGCTTTGCTGTCGACGTTTGGAAAGAGTTTGACGAACTAAAGGAGATTAACCAGAAAGATCGCATGGTCTTCAAGCCAAATGTCGACAAGGAGGTGGGCGAGAAGATGTTTAAGAAGTGGGGAAGGGTAAGTAGCTTCCACGAACCAACTGCGAGAATGGCATGTGCTGACTTTGATTTTTTATTTAGGCCGTCGAGATGTGTCGTGGTTGGTTAGATGCTGGAGAAGCCAACGGAGAGTTCTCATGATCTACGCGTATTATGGAGATTTATATATCCGCAACCGACGTGATGCTTTCCTTGGCATCCTCGTATGAAGAGTAATGAACTAGTTCAAACGAACGCATCTTCGCGTAGGAATCTGGTGATCGGCAAGCGTTCGGGCCAGTGCCACCCGATATTCGCTGTCATACCGAATCATGTTGTGGAGAGGTTGTCAGCATATAGAACATATGGGACCTAGTCCTATAGCCACACTGCTGCTTCTGGCGCTACCACCGGATTGGCAACGCGGGGGAGGGACGGTTCGAGGTATAGTCTCTGATCAGCTAGTTCACCGTTCTGGTGGCATTAAATGCTAACATCCATGTCTTATGTTCAGCCTGAATGGCTTGTGATGCTCGCCAACGAATAGTCGATTACCTACACAACTTGTAGAATTTCGGATACAAGAGCCAATGATATGTTCGTAATATTCTCAACATTCTCAACAAAGTGGTAGGTGTGGCGCCTTGTTTAAGCCACTGGCATATCAAGACTCCCAGAACGCAGGTACTGCGGATTGCTGGTTCCGCTTCCTGTTGAGGTTGCATTAACGCGGAGACTGTGGCATCCAATATATTCTGGCCCACAAATGGAGGACACGGAGCTATGCCACACTTGGGCGGTGCGAAGACCTTTTGATCTACTTCAAAACTCCAGAATGAGAGATGCATCATGCATGTGTATGCGGTCATGGTCCGTTGTAACGAAGTTCCTCGCGTTGAGGGGGTTGTCGGGTCGGCTTCTCAGAAGCTCGCGTCTGAAGCGAGCGCCAGCCGGTGAACTTTTCCGATCAGCGAAGGATTGTATACAAGGCCTGCTCAGTCCAGGGGACGCGATCCTGGTACGTTCTGCATGCGTTTGCATCTTTGGTCGCCATAAGAGAAGGCACCCTGCATTGGTCTCGTCCCCGAGAAGCGGCAGAATCCCATCTCTTTCATAGGTCGGTATATTCCCAGTCTCGGCAGGTCTTTTCCTTACCGAACAGCATCCACGTCCCTTATGGTTGTAGCTTACCGTGCGTTGTTCGAGCCGACATGCACTTTGCAGCCACTTAGTGTTCCATCGCCCGGGCAGCACGGTCTAGACAGTCTTACCGCGGGTCAAGACTACCAGATTCCTGGTCGATGTGTATGCATATGCACACGTTTCTCAGAAATCCCGTGCGATGGCATTGGTCGCTGTTCTTCAATGCAGTTATGGCACAGCGACCTGGACATGGGCCGTCAATGCGGGAAGCCTACCTAGGTAACGTACGAGGTGCTAGAGCTGTGCCGTTCACATATAGCAGGTGTCGGTGTAGAGTAGCATGTGTGGAAAGAGTTGCGAACTTGAGAGTCAGTGTTGCGGCAGGTAGAAACCTCAATCACATGGCGTCATGCGGACGAAACGGAACCCGATAACACCAGCATTGGGTTCATCAGACGCTCCGAAACTCAAACACAACCCCGAATCTGCCCTGCTGACAATGTACCTCGAACGTTATGCTCACGAAATCAGAAAGTGAGGCCGGCGACCAGGACCCCACCAGCAGCCACTAAAG